TGTAATAAGTTTCTCATAGTTTCTGTGCAGTTTTTGGTAATTCTCCGTGAGCTCACTTCTTTAGAATCATTGTTTTGAACTCAATATCTGAAAGTTTCCTCGCCTCTATTTCATTTAGTTCTCTTTGTGGGGATTCCTCCTTTCCCTTAGATTGGGGGCTGTTTCTTTGTCTTCCCAGTTTTGGGAGACTCCTCTTTTTGGCTTCTGCTTTTTAAATTGATATGTGTTGACTTCCTGACATTGTGGTGTGAACTTTTATGGTTAGGAGACCACTCTTTCCCCCCACCTTCTTTCTGGATCTGCCTTTGATGATGTCAGATGTTCACCCTGACTGACCTTAGGTAGTCTTTTAGAAACTTCTGGGAATCTACTGTCTGTGGCTCTCACCTTAAGCTGTTAATATAGTCACTCTGCACTCAGCAGTCAGGCTTAGGCACCACAGGATGAGACAGAGTCCCTCCTGGGTGCAGGATTATAGTGTCCTCTCATGCCTCTGCCCCTCAGGGGAGTGGTCTGCCTGAGCAAGATGGCAGTTGCTGAATGAGGGAAGAGTCAGCACCGGGACACTGCTGGCTACTCTCTCAGTTCTTCCCCCAAAGCATCCTTCCCCAATCTCTCATCAAGTGGCTCTAGTCAATTCTGTCCCTACTTTTGTTTGAGCCCAGGGTAAGTGGCTGTGAAAACAAATTTATGTGTTGGCTCTTTAAACAGCTCTTTGTGTCTCCAGCTGCCCATCTTTGGCAGAGAGCAACCCTGCTGCTTTACACAGCTGGCTGTTATCTGAATTTTTAATGGTCTCTGGTGCTGTTGGCTGGAGATCCCCACCTATTCAGGGGGATCCCCACTCTTCTCAGGAGAATCCACTTGTTCGTTTAATTATCCTTTTGAACTGCTGCCTGTTGGCACCCAGCCTGCCTTCTCTAGTCTCTACTGCACTCCTTACCAGTTAGGTTGTGCTAAAGCTGATTCCTCTGTCCGTCCGAGGTTTTAAGTCTCCTTTCTCACTATTGTTCAGTTGTTTTCCAGGTGATTTCTGCACATTTTAGTTGTAACTCCAGATTGATCCTGGGAGGAGGTCAGTGTGACTTTCACTCACTCCTCACCCATCTTCAAGTCTCTGTTTTGTTTTCATTTCTAGCCAGTCTAGTGGGTGGAAAGCGCTATATCTGTGTGGTTTTATTTGTATTCCCTGATGACTAATGACATTGAGCACACTTTGTGTGTGTGTGTGTGTGTGTGTGTGTGTGTGCGCGCGCGCGCGCGCGCGCGCTCATCTGTCATTTGTATACCTTCTTTGGAAAAATATCTATTCAAGTTTTTTTGCTCATTTAAAAATGTGGTTCCTTCCACCTGGATGCTACCATGGCATTTGTGGGAGCAATGGAATTCTTCTCCTCTCTGCTGCCCCCCTCTTCTCTGGAGCCTCAGAGGGATCCTGGATCTAGGAATTAAAGATAATTTTGCTGTGTGGCTGGATTTTCTTACTGCTTGCTGTTCTTTAATTGTTTCTGTGACTAGTTCGTGGCTTAACTCATTTACATATTCCCAAGTTTATCTGAAAAAAGAAAAAGAGAAGAATGATAAAAGGCAAAAGCTTGTGAAAAATAAAACAAGAGGCCCAGGGTGAAAAGGGCAGCAGATGCACACAGAATGTTCTTATACCTCACCAGGAAATGAAATAGAAAAAACTGGAAATGCTCTTTTATCAGATGGTGGGTAAAACCCAGAAGTCAGGCAGTTGTCATAAACTTCAAGGTAATGAAGATCTGGTGCTTGAAAATTAGAGTCAGGCCTCTTTGACACATATGGTAGAGAAGCAGCAAAGAGATGGAACTTGCCTAAGCCTTCGACCAAAGTGTCACTACCTGCTGAACAGATCTCTCAGGAGATTCATGATTTACCTGAAGAACCTCCTGGGAGAACTGAAAAAGTAGTCACTGTTGCTCTCCAATGTCCAGGTGAGAGTGTTCCAAGGAGAAGGTTCTTTAAGTCATGCCATTCACAGGTGTTCTTTGACTGGATGATGAATATCAGGTATCATACATCCCCAGGCAGCCATTCTGCTTCTTTTCCTAGAGGGCATCTGGAAGTGGAGGGAGGCTGGTCATTGCAAGTCAAAGGAGTAACTGTTCATACTTCACTCAGCATGGAAGAGAAAGAGCAGAGCACCTAGTTAGGAAATCAAAACTACCCATTCTACATAAAATCAGTCAATGCCATGACCTTACATGATAATGAAGGGTTCAGATTAAAGTCATGCCATGCATTGATTGAGCTCAAGGCAGTAAACTCTTAATGTTGATATTCATGGGAATATATGGACATAAAGTGTTAGAAAAAGCTTGCTCTCTGCATATAATAATTTTTGGAATTTACCATTTTTATAACATACCAGGTGAGAACTAGGTAAAAGTGTATACTATAAGACACTCAATAATTTACATTTTTCCTTGTTGACATCATTTATGTTAAAAAACAAAGTCATATCATTTTAGTTTCTGCCTCTTCAATCCACATTACCACACTATGAATATTTCACAATTCAGTCAAACTCTTCAAAGTTTTATAAGGAAATGTTTATTTTGCTATATTTCTAGAAATTAAACTTTAAGGAACTTTCAAATCTCTTAAAGCTTTAAAGTTCTTTTTGATAGGTTTGTATTAATGTTTGCTTAAGTAATGTATGAGATTTATATAATTTTGCCTTGCATTGAATCATAACATTTATAATGTTCCCAGTGGACTAATATTTAAAAAAAACAAAACAATGAAAGCATTTTAAAAAATCATGTTATTTGTCTTGTTTGCTATGGAGTTGTAAGATTTCTATATTTTCCTGACTATTCTTGCATCTGCATTTTTTTCCAGTTGAATCTCAGTATTGCTTCATCAGAAATGGCTAGCAAATTTTATGTAGCTTAAAAGCAAAGAAACAAATGTTTGGCCTGAATCTAGTCCATTTTATTCTGCAGATGAAATCCTCCCCAAAACATCTCCACTTTAGATGCCCTGAAAAGATGTGGCCATGAATATTGTGAAGTTGATTTAAACCCTACTTGTGTATATGAAGCAGCAGTGGGTTTCAGCAATGCTTTCCTGTAGGCTTGTGGATGGAAATAGTTAATTACTCTCTGGCCTGAATTACTTAACAGTAGCAATGACTCAGAAATTAGGGCTGTAGAAGCTCTTTCTGAGATCAGCATCCTGCACTAGACTGAGGTGATTATTGCAATGTCCCAGAGTCATGAATCCCCTCTGCAGCCCCGCCCCCCGGCCTGGGTTCAGAACATAACCCACACTGCATGCACAGCCTGACTCTTAGCTATGGACTGGAGTGGTGCTGGGCTTTGTTAGGGAGCAGTGTGCTTTCCCGAAAGCTTTAGTCCTTGGGGAGGGGTGTGTGCATGAAAGGCAGCCAAGCATGTCAGTTGCTTAATCTTTGGAGTATCAGAAAGAGAAGCAAACATTTCTTAGATCAGTAGTTTCAAGGCTTATCTGACGCAGGCCTCTGCCTGGGGCTGGAGCATCAACTGTTTCTCCAGTTTCTCTCTCCAGGGTGGATATGAATTTGAACCCTTGTAATGAATGGCTTGCACTTTTTTCCCTGGGAAATTTGTGTGTATGTGTGACTATGATGGGGGAAAAGGGGGAAATGATAAATTTACAACTGGACACTTGGAGTGTTTGTTTCTTTACAATAAAGTTTCTAAACCTTTTTTTTTTTTCATTATCATCCCCACATAAGGAGCATTTCTAGATTCTTCCCCTCTAATTACCCATCTCCTATGAAATTTTACTACTACTGATATACTATATACCTGTCCATGGACTGTATATATATCTGTGCTTGATACATAAATATATATATTTTTGCCATCTTGGGGGCCATGTGATCCCTACTCATGTTTTACAATAGTTCACACCTGGTCCCCTTGGCAGCCTCTGCCACATAAAAGCAGAAAGAAGGCAGTTCAGCAGGTACTGTGGAGTGTGTGAACTAATGCAATCAAGCGCTTAGCAAAGTACCTGGCCCATGGAATGTGTCTGAAAAATGAGAGCCCATGTTGTCACCATTATTATTCTTTCATGGATCACAGTGACATTTGCAGCCCTCTCTCAGGCTGTGGACTCCCATCATCCTTGAGGGCTGGTCAGAGGTCTGGGTCATTCCTAGCCTGGAGCTTCTACCAGAGACCCTTGGGGCTCATAAGGGAGTGAGTTGGGCTGGACTGGGGCTGTGGCACCAGGACAGCCCACCACGCTCAATTTAAACATGGCAGCTGCTCCTGGGCTACAGCCCAGTGGTGCCAGGCATGGCGCCAGGCAGCTGCCAGTGCCTAGTGATGTCAGACTTCTGGTTCTCGGGAGAATCTGGGAATCTGGATGTTTGGTTCAGTCCCCTGACTTGTAAGCATTCACTCAATTAAACAACAATAATGTTATGAAGTCCCCCAATGCAGTGCTCTTTCCACTTAACCCAGAGCCCACCCTGTGCCTCAGGACCCTCCCCAATTCACTTTATTTGGGGACTCCTTAACTCCTCTCCCTCTGGCCCTTCTGCTTGGGGAGGGGGCTGAGGTTGGGGCCATTCCGGATAGGAACCAACGCAGCCAGCTCCCCCCGTCCCGCCCCAACACCCGTCACCCCCTTTCCAGAAGGACCTGGATTCTGTCTGCAGATGCAGAAGGTCGGGAGCTCCCCAGCCTTACTCGCGGGCACCAGGAGAGTCCGGCTGGGAGGGCTGGGCCTGCAGAAGGAGTTGGCCAGGCGCCTGGGCCGAGTGTGGGAACGCGGACCCAGGGAGGGCACGCGGCGGGCGGCACCCGGCCTCGCCCAGCCTCTCCCTGCGCTGACCTCGGCACTTGGAAAGAAACAGCCCGTTGTTCGCGCCGCCCTCTGACCCCTCCACTCAGGGCGTTGCTTTCTATTCGCCCGGGTCGCGGGTGGGAGGCGAGGAACGCCCGGGTTTAGGAAGTTGGATCCCCGCCAGGCCCGTGGCCTTCGGTCCCCGGGCCACCAGGCAGCCGCGCTTGGGCGGGAGGACAGATCGCCCGGGTCGGTTGTAGCGCGGCCATGGGCTCCGGAGGCTCCAGCGCGGCGCAGATCCCCGACGCGGACAGCATTCGGCGGGAGACGGGCTGTGAGCCGGGCGCCCGGGGCTCCTGTGGGGTCCTAAGGAGGGCTGGGTGGAGGGGATGCGGGAGCCCAGGAGGTCCGAACAGTGATCGCTGGTCCGGGGGCGCGGAAGTCCTGGGGCCTGGCGTCCAGGTTTGAGGCGGAGCCGGGTTCCCGAGCCTGGGGACACCCAGGGGTTCTCCAGCTCGGATGGAAGGGGTTGGCTTTGGTCCCTTGGTCTCTCAGAGGGGAGGTCGAGGGGGCAGAGAGCCTCCTCGGGTCTCGTCACGCCCTTTCCAGCTTCCAGATGGCCCCAGGTCCCAGGCAAAACTCACCCTCCGGCCCGCCTCCGACCCTCGCCACCTCCCGCGCCGCTGGGGCGTCACCCTTCCGCCTTCCCTCCCACAGTCTCTCAGTCCAGCCTGCTCCGCCTCTACCACCGGTTTCGGGCCCTGGACAGGAATAAGAAGGGCTACCTGAGGTGAGGGGGGAGCTGACCTGTGATCCCTCCTCTGTGTCTGTGTGCCTATCTCGCTCTTTGACCCTTCATCTTCTGGGTCTCTGCCCTACCCGTTTTGAACTTCTTTTCCAGCCGCGTGGACCTGCAGCAGATAGGGGCGCTGGCTGTGAACCCCTTGGGGGATCGCATTATAGACAGCTTCTTCCCTGATGGGTGAGTATCGCTGGGCATGAAGAGATGGAGGAAAAATCTTACATGGAAGGGTGGGGGAAGTTTAGGGACAGAGGCAAGAGAGCCAAGGTGACCGCTGCCTCTGCTCCATTCCACCACCACCCCTCCCAGGAGTCTACGAGTGGATTTCCCAGACTTTGTCAGAGTCCTGGCTCATTTCCGACCTGTAGATGAGGAGGACACAGGAACCCGGGACCCCAATGAACCTGAACCCCTCAACAGCAGAATGAACAAACTTCGCTGTGAGTTGGTAGGATCTCCCCAAGTGAGACCCTAGATTTACAGCAACAGTGAGTGGCCCCAGGCACCTTCCACTCCCTTCCTGAGCCTATTGATTACCTCCCTACTGGCTAGGATGACCTGCTGGAAGAGAACCAGGGAAGACCCACCTTCATTTTCCCCCTCTACTCTCTCCGCAGTTGCATTTCAACTTTACGATCTGGATCGAGATGGAAAGATTTCCAGGCATGAGATGCTACAGGTTGGAAGAACACAAGAACATACGTGAAGTCTGTGCTGGGTGGGATGGTTGAATGGAATGGTTGTGGGGCCCGGGTGGATAGTTCATGGGTCGGGGATGCAGATGATCCGAGTGCTGGGTGGGCAATGGGAATGGATGCGGTTGGAGTGCGGGTTAGTTGAGAGATGTGGAGGATGACACAGTGGGGTATGAGGTTGGGGATAAATCAGTGGTTCTCAGCTGGGGGTGATTTTGCCCCCTGAATGACATTGCCACTATCTGGAGACATTTTTGGTTGACACAGCTGGGGAGGGGGTGGGGCAACTGGCACCTAGTGGGTGGAGGTCAAGAATACTACTAAATATATAATATGCAAGATAGGCCCCTTCCCCCATAAGGAATTATCTGGCCCCAAATATCAATGGTGCTGAGACTGAAAAATACTGGGATGGATGTGATGAAGTAGAATTTGGGAATGGTTAGAGGATGAGGTGGGGAGTGGGGTGGGGGATGGATGGAGGCTGGGTTCTGAGATTAGTTGAGTAATGAGCCTGGGCATACTGTTGAGGTGAGTGTGGGATAGTGAAGGACAGATAGGGGTTTGCATGGTAAAGCAATAGCGGGACCTGATGCATATAGTGGGAAGTGATTGGAATGAGGTGAACAATGGACGAGGGATGGATTTTGAAATTGTTAATAACTTTTTTGGTGATATGGATAAGGTTGGGGGATGGTATTAGTTGTTTCTGTGCCTCCTCTTCATAGTTGTCTCTTCCTCCACCTACCAGGTACTCCGTCTGATGGTCGGGGTACAGGTGACAGAAGAGCAGTTGGAGAGCATTGCTGACCGCACGGTGCAGGAGGCTGATGAAGATGGAGATGGGGCTGTGTCCTTCCTGGAGTTTACCAAGGTCAGAATGCCCCTGGGTCCTGAGGAGTTGAAAGCATGAGTCCCTAGGACAGATGGACATGGGAAATGAAGCTTGAAGGAGGAGGGCAGAAGACAGGGGTTCCCAGGAAATGGTGGGACCTTGGGGATGGAAGAGGAGGTTGGAAGAATAGAGGATTGTAATTCAAGTCGTCTTGACTACGACCCATCTTCACTAGTCCTTGGAGAAGATGAACATTGAGCAGAAGATGAGCATCCGGATCCTGAAGTGACCTTCTATGTGTGTCTGGCCAGCTTGAAAAGACCAGTTCTGCCTGGGGTTCATCCTCAGCCTCCATGAAGGAATGGGCTCCAATAAACTGCATTCTTACATCTACACTGAACTCTATTTAGAGTCAAGGAGACAAAGCTGGATAGGTGTGTACTAAAGTCTAACTCATTTGATTTCTGATCTGCAAATTGGCCAACAATTTTTTGGTTGCAAGTAACTAAAGTGCTAAATCAAAAGGACTTCAGTTAAAAAGGGATTTGGTGGACTCATAAAAGTGGGGAAGTGTCTTTGGGTACAGCTGGATCCAAGAGCTCAGATGATGCTATCTGGACTCGGTTATTCTCCATCTCTCACTCAGATATTTTGTATGTGTTGGCTTCATTCTAGAAGGGGTCTTTCCCCATGGTGGAGGATGGCCACCATCAGCTCCAGGCTTCCTCAGTAACCCAGTGGGAACAGATTTTCTTTTTCAATAAATTCAAGCAAAGAGTGTCATCAGCTCACTGGGGCCTGTCCCTTCTTCAGGGGAATGGAATGTTCTGATTGGCCAGGTGCGTGTGTGTCATGTGCTAACTGCTATAGCCAGGAAATAGGTACTGAGAACTCAAATGGGGTAAGGGATGGTTGCTTAAATTTTAAGCCTTAAAGGACAATGAAGTGCTATTATCAGAAGAAGGGGAATGATGTCAGTCAGACAAAATGAGAGATATCCATTACTGTTAAGTTGACCAAATGGACGGATTCATGAAGTCCTCTTACATGGGTTTTCACTTGATCCCATGGGTGCATGCTGGTGTGATCTGGGTGAAGGAGGGGAGAGAGGTGACATCAAAATAATAAACAAGACATGCCTTCCTATAGTATGAAATAATTCAAAGTTTTGGAGAGTAATTTCATTTTTTTGATGGTAAGATGTTCAAATGTTGATACATCACAGAAAGAGTGTGAAAGTCATATAAAACCATGAGATTCTAGATCTGGAGCAAAGCACTTTGGCTGTACCTATGGGAGGTGTGTCAGTGCCCTGCCCATGTCCTTTCCCAGGACTGCGCTGGAGTTGTCTTGTATCAGCACATGAGAGCCAGCTGTGATCATATCTTCCTAACTCTGCTTTCAGTGATGTCACACTGGCACCTTGAAATTGGCTGTGGTGGGAATATACACTAGAGGTCCTGGCAAATGCAATAGGCAGGACTTTTCTGCATAGGAGAGCCTGTTAAACCTTTATTAGCACACCAGCTGCCAGGCTTCACTATTACCACATACTCATATGCCAGCGGCTCCCGACCCCCAGCTTAAGTGAGGTGTAATTGGTATGCAAAAACTGCACATAATTAGCATACACAATTTGATGAGTTTGTATATAGTCAAGGTAATAAACATGTCTATCATCTCCCAAAATTTATCCCTTTGTTTTTTAGTGTTTTTAAAAAAAGTTTTTACTTATGTACTTTTAGAGAGGGAAAGGGAAGGAGAAAGAGAGGGAGAGAAGTATTGATGTATGAGAGAAACATCGACTGGTTGCCTCTCACGCACATCCCAACTGGGGACCAGGTCCACAACCCAAACATGTACCCTGACCTGGAATCGAATGGATGACCTTTTATTTTGTGGGACAATGCTCAACCCACTAAGCCATGCCAGTCAGGCTTCCCTTTAGTTTGCTTTTTTGTTTTATGAGTGTTTATTAAGCACACTTAACATGAAATCTTCCTGCTTAACAAATTTTTAAGTGCATAATACCTTATTTTTTAAAGTAGATTTTATTGATAATGCTATTACAGCTGTCCCATTTTTTCTCCCCTTTATTCCCCTCCACCCTGCAACCTCCCTCCCACTAGCATCCCCCCTCCTTACTTTAGTTCACGTCCATGAGTCGTTCATATAAGTCCTTTGGCTTCTCCATTTCCTACACTATTCTTAACCTCCCCCTGTCTATTTTGTACCTACTATTTAGGCTTCTTATTCCCTGTAACTTTTCCCCCATTCCCTCTCCTTCCCCTCCCTGCTTATAGCTCTCCATGTGATCTCCCTTTCTGTGATTCTGTTCCTGTTCTAGTTGTTTGCTTATTTTATTATTTTTTTTTTTTAGGTTCTTTTGGTGATACTTGTGAATTTGTTGTCATTTTACTGTTCCTAGTTTTTATCTTCTTCTTTTTCTTAGATAAGTCCCTATAACATTTCATATAATAAGGGTTTGGTGATGATGAACTCCTTTAATTTGACTTTATCTGGGAAGCACTGTATCTGCCCTTCCATTCTAAATATAACTTTGCTGGAGAGAGTAATCTTGGATGGACGTCCTTGCCTTTCATGACTTTGAATACTTCTTTCCAGCCCCTTCTTGCCTGCAAGGTTTCTTTTGAGAAATATGCTGATGGTCTTATGGGAACTCCTTTGTAGGTAACTGTCTCCTTTTCTCTGGCTGTTTTTAAGATTCTCTCCTTAGCTTTAATCTTGGGTAACTTAATTATGATGTGCCTTGGTATGTGTTCCCTTGGGCCCAACTTCTTTGGGACTCTCTGAGCTTCCTGGATCTCCTGGAAGTCTATTTCCTTGGCCAGATTGGGGAAGTTCTCCTTCACTATTTGTTCAAATAAGTTTTCAATTTCTTGCTCTTCCTCTTCTCCTTCTGGAACCCCTATAATTTGGATATTGGAATGTTTAAAGTTGTCCCAGAGGTTCCTCAACCTCTTCTCATTTTTTTGAATTCTTGTTTTTTCATTCTGTTCTGGTTGAATGTTTCTCTCTTCTGCTCCAAATCATTGATTTGAGTCCCAGTATCCTTCCCTTTACTGTTGGTTCCCTGTATATTTTTCTTTATTTCTCTTTGCATAGCCTCCACTTTTTCCTCCATTTTGCAACCATACTCAACCAATTCAGTGAGCATCCCGATTACCAGTGTTTTGAACTATGCGTCTGATAGGTTGGCTATATCTTTATTGCTTAGTTCTATTTTTGGAGCTTTAATCTGTTCTTTCATTTGGGCCATATTTCTTTGTCTCAGTGCACCTGTTGGAAGGGGTGGAGCCTTAGGTATTTGCCAGGGTGAGGCAACCCAGGTCGCTGAGTTGCAATGCTCTCTGTGGGGGAGGGGTCTGAGAGGGAAGAATGCTGCTTGCTTGGCTCTTGGCTGGTTTTCAGTCACTTCCCTAGCTACCCACAAGCAAATTGGGCCCTTCTAGTGCTGATTCCCGGGTGGGTGGGTTTGTGTACATTCTAGGACCCAATAGGCCCCTCTAATGAACTCTCCTATGAGGCTGGGAGTTTCTCCTGCCATTGCAACCTCCACAGATTTTTACAGCCAGAGATTTTGAGGCTTTCTTTTCCCATGCTGAACCTGGGCTGCGTGGTCTGTCTTGCTCCCCAGTCCCTCTTGGTTCATGCAAATGTAAGACCACCAGCAGCCACCTTGTCACGCATCCTCTCCGGCCAGGCTGCCAATCTCTGCTCCTCCTACCAGTTTGGATGAATGTTTCTTCTTTAACTCCTTGGTTGTCAGGCTTCTATACAGTTCTATTTTCTGGTAGTTCTGGTAGTTTTCTGTTTTTATATTTGTTGTTGTCCTTCTATTAGTTGTGTGAGGAGGCAAAGTGTATCTACCTATGCCTCCATCTTGGCCAGAAGTCAAGCTCCTTATTGTTAACTATAGGCACTATGTTGTACAGCAGAGCCCTGGAACTTACCTTGTATAATTATAACTTTATAACCACTGAGCAGCAGTTTCCCATATCACCCTCCCCCATCCCATGGTAACCTCTGTTCTGTTGTATACATCAGTGATTTTTCAACCCTTTTCATCTCATGGCACACATAAACTAATTACTAAAATTTGGTGTCACACCAAAAAATATATTCTTCACCGACCTGACAAAAAGAGGCATAACTTTGATTCATTTATACTGGGTGGATGTTGTGTTGGCTGTTGTCATTTTTTTATTTGACAATCTAAAAGAAAAGATGTCAATGCCTCTGACTAAATAGTCAGGTATTGCATGTTTTAAAAACACTTGCAGCACACCAGTGTGTTGCTGTACACAAGTTGAATATTGCTGATTGATTTCCATACATTTAACTATTCCAAATGCCTCATAACAGGAACCAAGCTGTATTTCTTTCTGTGGCTGTCTTATTTCACTTAGCATAATGCTTCCAGGTCCGTACATGTTGTCAGAAAGGGGAGGATTTCCATCTTATTAAAAACTGAATAATATTCCATTATATATATATATATATATATATATATATATATATATATATATACCACATATATCTGTTGATGGACATTTGGGTTGTTTTCATATCTTGGTTATTGTGAATGATGCTGCAAGGAACATGAAGGTACAGATATCTCTTCAAGATGTTGAATTCATTTTGTGGGACTGCTGGATCATATGGTAGTCCTATTTTAGTTTTTTGAGAACCTCCATGGCTCCTTCACACAAGCCTGGGTGCTACTCTGCCCTGGGACCTTTGCCAGACATCTGCATGTACTCAGCCTGTGTGAGGGGCAGGTGCAAGCACCAGGGTGTTCATGACCCTTGGAACAGCTTTCAACCAATGACAGATGGAAATTGTGGATACTCAGTTTCTTCATGCATCAGGTGGGACAATTTGGAAGCATGTTCACTCCAGTCTCATAATTCTCCAGCAGGTGAGGACCTTATTTGCCTTCAGGGTTACCCTGCTTGTTAAAGCCCCATTGGTTGGCCCCTTTTTGTTCCTGTCTCACTTTCACACTCCAGTCAGTACTTCCTGGGTCTCTTCACAAATAAACAATTGTTCTTAAATCCTTGTCTCAGGGAACTTCTGGAGAAACTCAACTTCTGAGGTATTAGATCTTCCAGAAGATGAGTTTACACTCCCTGTGGTTGTGGGCACTCAGTGGGATTCTTTGAGGAAGCACTGTGTTGGGTAATTGAATAACTCTTGGCATTTCCTGACGTTGGAGAGTCTGAGGTCATATGGATAGAGACTGCGCACCTTTGGAGTTCTAGGTATTGTCTGGGATGGAGTATTAACCCCATTTCAACTTTAGCATTTTCATTGCAGCATGATTCTGACAGATGAGTCTCATAGGTGAGAAGAGGAAACAAAGAGGATATTTGATTTCTGAGGGAACTTTGTGAGTTTTGTTAGAGGATTGTCACATGAACAAAGACTTTGTGATTGAGGGATGTTTGTTTAATCTCTAGGTCTATTAAAGGTGTGTGTATGTGTGTGTTTGGGGGGGAGGGATTGTATAAAACTTGGTGAGTGGCTATTTTTTCCAAGTAGTGTGGAGGAAGATTTGTATAGAGAAAGAAATAGAGGAAAGAGAAATAGAAATAGAGATAGAGAGACAGAGAGATAGAGAGATGATAGACAGATAAAGGCTGACTTTCTTTAAAACTGGTCTATTTTTCTCATATTATATTTTATCAATTATGCTATTACAATTGTCCCAATTTTCTCCCTTTGCCCCCTCCATCCAGCACCTCCCACTCCCTCAGGCATTCTCCACACCATAAACGGTGGTCCATGGACCATCTGTATAAGTTCTTTG